CCTTCCGCCCCGCCCGGCGAGGGCGGCGGCGGCACGGGGGCTGCGGCGGCGTACTGCCGCCAGTCGCCGAGCACCCCCAGCCGCACGAGGTCCCCCACACCCGCCGGCGGCGGCGGCGCGCCGACGACCAGGTCGCGCGCCGCGCGCGCCATGCGGGCGGCGTCGGCCTCGGCGGCGGCGATGGCGCCCTCCAGGTCCCGCGCGCTCGGCAGCGTGTCGCTCCAGCGCACCTGCGGTGCGCGTGCGGCGCGCGTGCGTGTGTCGTGTTTTGTGTGTGTGTCGAGTTTTGCCGCCGCGGCGCAGGGCCGGCCAAGCATCACAACGGCAGGGTCGGCCCCTCTGAGCAGTGGCCCGCATGTGCGCAGCAGCGCGCAAGCGCTCCGCCCAACACAACTAGTGGAGGCCACTCCAAAAAGGTCCTGTTGCGCAATGCAAGCCCCCGCTCGTGCAAGGCGCTCCGTGTGTCCCTGGGCCGCTGCAGCAAAACCCCGAGCCACAGCTTAGGGTCCGGAGTACAGACTCATCAGCACGTTATCTGTGCGAAGCACACAGCGCGCTGGGCGGCGCCCACAAGCGCCCACCATGTGCAGCGGCACCAGCAGCGGCGCGACCGGCCGCAGCGCGCCCGCGGCGCCGCCGTCCACCACCAGGTCCCGCACGCTGCGGTGGCTGGCGCCGTGCAGCACGGCGTGGGCGGTGTGGGGCAGCAGGCCGTCGGGGGCGTGGGCGCGGGTGATGGCGCGCAGGTAGGCCACGTGGGTCACCACCTGGGAGGGTGCGGGGTTTGGGGTTCAAGGGTTCAGGGTTCCAGGCTGAGGTTGAGGTGGGTTCGGAGACTGAGGGCTTAGGTTCTGGAGTGGAGGTCAAGGGAAGATTCAAGTTTGAAGTTGGAGGCGGGGGGCGTTGGCTGCCGTCAAACCTGGGAGCGCAGGGCGGAGGCCTCAACGTTGGATGCCATGCTGCGCAGGCTGCATTGATGGGCTGAGCCAGCAGTTTTCTGGACGCGTGACTGCTGTGTCCGCCTACCTCCGCTCCCCCATGTCCGTACAATCCTGCTTGAGGCGAGCGTAATCCACCCACCTGGCTTACGCCGCGGTCCCAGTCCCCAGGGGTGACGGATGGCGGCCGGTACTGCGCCAGGTAGTCCAGCTGCGCCTCGGGGTCACCCTCCAGCGCAAACAGGTCCAGCAGCACGCCCTCCAGCGGCGGCAGCGGCACCATGGGCCCGCCGATGACGTCAGCGGTGACGTCATCGGCCGCGCCCGCGTCCGACGGGGCGCCGGGCGGCGGGGCCGCGCTGGCGGCGGCGGCGGCGGCGGCGGCGTTGTGGGTGCGCAGGCAGCGCAGGGCGAAGGCGTGGAGGGCGGCCCAGCTGGAGAGGACCTCCTCCCACTGGTGGCCGCCCCGCGCGGTGCGCTGCAGCCTGCGGGGTGAAGTGCGCGTTGTGCGCGCGCACCAGTGAGCCACAGACAGACCGCGGGTGCTTCCACATCGTTTGGGATCTCGGTTTTGCGCCTGCCCATCTTTGCCACCTTGACCACACTGGCTCACCCGCGTGCACACAACATATTAAAAAAATAACAACAACGTTCACATCCACAGCCAACAAATTACAGATTGAGACCCCAACATGGACCCAATCACCCCACCGTCACTGAGGGTAGCACCCGTTCCTTAAACCCTGACAACTACCTTAACCCTACCCCCACACCCAACCCCACCCCCACCCCCTCCCACCTGTCCCCCACCAGCTCCTCCCAGTCCGCTCTGTCCATGCCAGCTGGCATCAGCGCCAGCACAGCGTCCAGCTGGCGCTCGTAGCCTGCAGGCTGTGCGCCCAGCATCCGCTGCGGGGCGCGGCGGCCGGCGGCGGAGTGAGAAATTGAGGATGCAGGCAGCAAAGACGGAGCCCGTTATTTGGGCTGGCGGAGCAATCGCCAAGTAAGATGATTCCTGGGGCGCAAGCAGACAGCGGCGGTTTCCAGGTGCGACGGAGTGCGGTGCGGCGCAAGGGATTCCTGTCCAGTCAGAGAGACCTGTCAGACCGGACCCCCCGGGGATCGGCAGCGACGGCGGCCGGCGCCACGGGGGGCCGTATTGTTGTGCGCGACTCACCGCCTCGTGGCAGAAGGCCGCGAGGTCCAGGTCTGGCCTCCAGGCCTGCAGCAGGTGATACAGCCTGAAGTAGGGCTGGTCGCTCATGTCTGCCGCGGCGCGCAGCCCGCCGTCCTCCACCAGCAGCAGGACCGGCACCTTTGCGGAGACGGCAGGGTGCGGCGGCAGGTGACGGGTTTGTGAGCGTGGTCAGGAGGGGGCCAGGTGAGGGGGGTGGGCATGGTGGGCAGAAGCCGCTGCGCTCAAATCATTTGGCGACAAAGAGTGGTACACACTGTCGCTTTGAGTCTCATTGCAGCATCTGTGCGTCCTTTTAACACCCCGCTCTGCCCCTGCCCACGCAGACCCACGACTGCCCAAGCCTACACGCGAGCCCCAACTCACCCGCTCCCCCGCGCGCTGCAGCTGCACCGCCAGTTCATGCGCCACCGCGCCGCCCAGGCCCACGCCGGCCACGACCCACGGCCCCGGCGGCGCCGCCTCCCGCAGCGCCTGCACCAGCACCGCCGCCAGCGCGGGCACGGTCCTCAGCCGCGCCAGGTGGCGGCGCGGCGGCAGGTCGAGGGCGTAGCAGCTTCTCGGCAGCTGCCCGAGGGCTTCGGCCAGGTCTGGGAGCGTCGCGTCCGCGCCGGGCACCACTATCAGCGGCAAAAGACCCGGATCAGAGCCAATCCTCGCAGCTTGCGCCCCTGCTGATGTTGCTGAGGCCCGGGATTCTGGTGTTGAGACGCCCAGCGGCGGCGAGGGGCGCGAGAGGGGCCGGACGAGGGTGCCGGGCCGCAGCGGCGCGCCGCCGCCGCTGGCGAGGGCGAGTTGCTGTAGATCCGCCACGGGCAGCGCGCTGGCGAGCCGCTGGCGGATGTCCGCGTCAACTGTTTTGGGGGCGATATGATTGTGTGTGTGTGTGCGTGCGTGCGTGCGCACGTGTGTGTGTGTGTGCGTGCATGCGTGTGTGTGTGTGTGTGTTTTGTTGGGGATATGGAAGCATTGGTTGTTGACGACGATGCATGCAATGTTTGCATGCATGCTGGGGTCCAGCTGCGGCGCTGAGCGAGGTTGCCCTGGCCTCAGCAGATGCAACAACAACCAGAGTAACATGGTGATTGGACAGATCCTTTGAACGCCCGGCCACCATTGCTGGCTGGCGCTCGCTCTGCGTTCGTACCCCTACCCCTGCCTGCATCGCCACGCAGCGACCTGCTAGCGGACCTACACGCCCGACCCAACCTCGACAACAGCGGCGCGATTGCACGCACCTCCCATGCGTCCGAGGTAATCGCTCAGCTCAGCAGCCATCTCCCCGCCCCCGCCCCCGCCCCCGCCCCCGCCCGCGCCGCCGGCGCCCGCGGCGCCGCCGCCAGATGCGACCGAGCGCGCGGCGCGGCGCTCGCGGCGCACGGCCTCCGCCCAGCCGAAAGCGCCGAGCTTGAGCTTCAGCATGGCCACCTGGCGGCGGTTGAGGGCGGTTGGGGGCGGTCGAGGGCGGTTGGGAGCGATTGAGGGGGGTCGAGGGCGATTAAGGGCGATTGAGGGCGGCTAGGAGCGGCCGGGACGCTCGCACGCGCCTTCGGCTGCGTTTGAGCGCTGTGATCCAGCCACCATCCAGCTTCAAATCTCGCTGAACCACTCTTGATGACTGAGTTCCAGCACCATGCCCTGCAACCCACCCAAACCTACACAACCAACAAACTTTGAATCTCGATCAACCCCCACAACGCAGAACACCCCGATAAGATCACACAAACCCCAACGGAACCCTGCTAAAACGGCCACCCTGCCACGTCAGCCCCCCCACCATGGGCTCCATGTCAGGGGCGTCCTGGCGCAGCAGGCTGAAGTGGTCCCCGGGGACGTCCACCACGGTCAGATCATCACACAGCTCCGCCCAGGTGGTGCCGTGGGAGTAGCGCCAGTACCTGCGGAAGATGAGCAGACAGTGTTTACACGCCACCACGTCCGAAAGTTTCCTCAGACCACGTTTCAAAGTGCTTTTGCGAGACATTTGTTGCGGCAAAAGCCACCAAGCTGCACGCCGGCGGACGTCTGGTGCGCACACCCTGCCTGCAAGCCCAGGCTTCTTGCCCCCCCTCCCTCTCACAACACTGCAAACCGCACCTCGAGTCGTTGAAGTAGTTGCAGGCCCCCGCGCTGTTGGCGCGGAAGTACACCACCTGCGCCCCCCTCAGGCGGCCGCTGAAGGTGTGGTGGCGCATGTCGCTGACCTGGGACCCCTGCTTCACGGCCAGCGCCACGTACGCCACCTGGATGGGGGGGGTGTGATTAGGAGGAATTTATAGCCCATCCGATGCGGAGGTAAACGGTCCAGTCGTCCAGAGGGATTCGCTCAGGTGGGGCTTGATCTTTTGGGGGCCGGTCAATCGAGCTGGGGTGTGGGAGGTATGCAGTTGGCGTGGCGGCGGCGCGCGCGGGATCAGCGGCTGGAACGTTGCGCGCAGCAGTCTGGGGCGCGCGTCCTGAGGGGCAGCTGCGCACTGCAATTCCATAAGCCTTGGTGGCTACAGAATTCGGCAACGGCGGGGGCGCTGTGAGCATTCGGATCCCAACCCTGATGCCGAGGCACTGCAGGAAAGCTGTGATGGTATCCAAGACATCCGCACCAGCTCCTGGGCAGTCGCTGCAGGCGCTGTCATCACGCACGGCTGCTCCTGCTCTTTTTAGAGAGGTATGCAACGCAGCACTCGAAGCAAATCGGCATCCTGCAGCGCCGCGCTCGCGCGGGGCCGCCCCCACCTGCTCTGCCACGTCATCGGCGCTCATGTTGTCGTCCCGCATGACGCGCCAGATGGGGGCGAAGAACTCGTACCGCTGGCGCATGGTCATGCCCCGCCACTCCTCACTCTCGCGGGGGTGCGCCATGCCCGCGCCCAGGCCGATGGCGTCGCTTTGTATTGTTGGGGGGTGTTTGTGAGGGTTTGAGGGGCTGTTTCAGGGATGATGCGATGGTTTCAGCCCATATGCCTCCCTCCTGGCCGCTTAAGCACCTCAGATGCAGCCTGGGTCAATCACTCACACCCTCTCTTGACCCCCAATCCCTGCGTCCCACCCCCTGCAGCCAGTTCGCCCAGGCCAGCCAGCACCAACAAGGATCTCCACCCATGACACACCCCCACCCCCCCCCCTCACCGTCCCAGTGCCCCCAGCACCATCTCCATCAGCTCAAGGCAGTCCTCCTCAGTGGCCCGGGGGGCGTCGGG